GATATAGGTCTATAATTACCAACGCAGCTGGCATCGCCACTTTTTAAGAGAGGAATAACTAAAGCATCTTTCCAAGCTGCTGGAAAAACTCCAGTGGTAAGGGACTTATTAAAGATTGAACATAGAGGGGAAGCCAACTCATTAGCACAGTTGACGACAAATACAGCCGGTATACCGTCGGAGCCGGCTCCTTTCTTATAGTCAAGTCTTTTTAACACTCTGTAAACTTGATCTTTGGTAACGGATAGGGACGACAAAAAATTTGAAATATTAGGCGTACAGAGTTCGTCTTTACTAGGAAGATGAGTGGAAGTAGTGTGGTCATAAACTAATGAGAATTGCGTTGCGAAAAGATCACAAATATCGGGTCCATTGGTGGCAGTACGATGTCCGGCCGACATTATGGCAGGATAAGTGCTACTGCCTTTTCTTTTATGCTTTAGAAATGTCCATATGTATTTAGGATTCGATGACAAAGAGGCTTCTAACTGTTGCAAATATCTGTTGTAATTTAATTTATAAATTCTGTTACTTCTCTCCCTAAGTAATTGAAAGGTCAGTAGGTCGCGAGGGTTACCGTATTTGCGAAACTTTTGGCGAAACTTGAATTTCTCTTTTAAAATTTTGATCAATGGGATGGAGAACCATACAGGATACTTGTTGTTTCGCGGTGTACGTTTCGGCACGTGCTTAGCTATTATTGGCCTGAGTAGTTTGTAGAAGACCGTAACCATCTCGTCTACTGTGAGGCATTTAGACAATTCTTCATCCCAAGAAATATTCGATAATTCGTTAGTAATTTCTGTATAATTAGCTCTGTGAAAATAGTACCTAGGTTCGGAGATTGAAGGCAGCTTATCTTGTGAATTTAGTGTTATGCCAAGTTCCAACGGGGGGTGAGAGGGATCTATAATTGACAGAGGGTTAGCGCATACATTTAGTTGAGAGATTGTAATGGTGCTGAGTATTAAATCCAGAATTTTGTCTTTGTTGTTTAACTCAAAGTTATATTGATGAAGCCCGTTTAACGACATAAAATCTATCAGCGTGTTATACATAAAACTGTTAGACAATACCGGTATGACTTTACTGTTATCCGCCCTGTTCCAAGTGACGTTGCTCAAGTTGAAGTCACCAACGACTATAGTATTGGTGCCGTGTTTTTCGATGGTACGGTTGGAATTAATTATAAAATGTTCTAAAATGTGTTTTTGTACGGGAGGGGGAATATAAATACCGCATAAATAAAAATTCTCTATTTTACCTTTGCTGTTGTGCAGCTCCAATTTAATCCAAAGATCCTCGCAATCGGATTCATAAGCGTGCATACGAACAGACGTTAGTCGCTTTGAGACTGCTATTAAGACGCCACCTCCCCCTTTTTTATTGTGGAAGCCGCTAGTTTCACGATCGCGCCTATGTACTACGTAACGGTTATCGAACAGCTCATTGTCGCAAATACTACTATTTAGCCATGTTTCTGTAAAAACTATAATATCAAAATCATTACAAATTACATTATTAAACACATCCTGAGTTTTTGTTCTTAAGCCTCTGACATTTTGATAATAAATTGTTAACATGCCCTTAAGTAAAAAGTAAGCAATTTTAGCGGTATTATGACAAATTATGAAGCACGTCTAAATTTTTGACATGGATAAAATTCGATTCTTCGTTCTTCCGCATGAAGATCCTTCCGTCACGAATCCAGACAAATTTGTACTTAAGTTCCTTTGCTTTGGTACGGGCTGCGGCGTGCAATGATTTTAACGCAGGAGTAAGGTGTTCGCCTACAAAAACAGCCTTCTTATCACCGCCGATACCCAAGTGACTAGACTTTAGCTTGTCATCCGGATTATTTTTATTAAATTTGCTGGCAGCAGCTAGAAAATCATCACGGAGTCGTGGGCTACTAAGCTTGAGTAAAATGGAGCGCGGACGGGAGGACGAACTGTTCATCTTGGCTAGCCTGGTGCAGTATTGAATATGAGTGTCACTGACTGGACACTTGATTACTTTGCCAAGTTGCTGCACCATATTCACGAGGTTCTCCTGCTTATGTTCAGGAACGCATTGTATTTCGATATTTGCAGAGCGTGAGTTTTGGTCCATTTGCTCAAGTCGTGCCGAAAGTGATTGGACAGCGGATCGTAAGGAGGTGTTTTCTTCCTGCATGTTTTGTAATTTTGAGGCCTGCGCGGCCTGTGACGCTTTCATCGCCTCAAGTTCACTATTAAAAAACGATATGGTAGCTTGCAGAGTGGACACTGCGTTAGCGACTTCAACAAGCTGTGGGTTAATTTGTTGCTTGAAAAAGTTAAGCTCATCGCGGATTATTTCTCGAATGTCGCTGGCAGTTAAAAATAATACACTAGGCCCTGGGCGCGGCTTAGTACGCTGGGTAACGAATTCGAGCTGAGGCGATGACACGCCCCGTACTGGGGTGTTTGTTTTATCGCCGCCCTTGCGGCCCTTGCTGCGGCACGTATCGCATGTCCACTTTGTTATAAAGTCATCGGTAAAGGCATTGTATTCATTCTGTGACAGGTTAAGGCATAACAAATGATACTGCTCTTTACAGCATGTACAATGCATTGCAGAACTATCAATTAACTCATTTAAACAAGCGGCGCATTTATCGGCAATCTCCATCGTATTAGTTTTGTAAAGTATAAACTTATAAAACGTAAAGTGGTAATTAAGCGAAACCGTCTGTGCACTGTAGCTCGATGATTCTTCCGTTCAAAACGACGTAAGCGCCATGTATAACGCGTCGCTTACGCGTTTAAGTAAACAGCTGTGTTTGCCGCAAATACCCTTCACGGTTTGTTTAACTTACGTATAACGATTGATTAATATCACTTTATTGCACTAATTAAACACCAAAAAATTTAGCTTATCACATTGACAAAATAAATAACAAATCAGAATAACAACTTTTCACTGTACTTAAACCGAAATGCTCAATTTAATTTAATTTTAACAACAGCGCAAAGTTAAGATGTTGTTGCAGTTGCAGCATTTACTTATATAAATCGTATTAGTATTATGTACTTATATAAATCGAAGCACCGATGAAGAAAATGATTTGTTGAATAATATTTAAATTTTTTATTCATAAAAAGATTTTTAATCCGTCAATAATCGATTTATTAGTGTTGCACGATTCATGGGAAATCGATCAAATCGATTGAAAATTAACAACGTAACTGAGATAATTCGGATTAAAGTTTCAGCTAAAACTAACGGAACAAGAATACTATTTCATAATTTGTTCTTTATAATAACCATAAACTCTGTCGTAAAGTAAAAAAAAAACTGTAAATTCCATTACAGTGACACCAGACACATGCTCTCTCTTTTGATTTCAAAGAAAATAAATGGGATGCCAATATCAACTCATTGTCCTTATCCTACCCTTCGTCTTCTATCTTCCGTCATTTCAGTCACTCATTTCTTGATCATGTCACCTTTCACGCAATCCATCCGTCTCTTTCTAGGTCTACCTCTACTCGTGTACCACGCTCCTAACTAAAGTTCTCCAATGTGTAATATCCTATTTAAATAACGCCATTATAATAGGAAGATCATTTGTCAGGAAGGAAAGGATTTTTCAAAGATAACTTTAGAGATCATATAGTTGTGGCAGTTAAGATGACGTCATACAATATGTTATAACGCTGTTGCGGTTTTCATGGGGAAGAACATGATTTATTATTTACAATGGCCTCATCAATAATTTGCATGCGTTTAATTAAATGGAAGATACAATTGCATATTGTAAGTCTGTACTAATACCTTGTCGCTCTCTTCATGACTGAATGCACAACATTTATAATAGACAGCCTCGATAAAATAATTCACCTATTGATTTTAAATAGCAAAAATACAAATGAAATGTTTTGCAAATTGTTTTTTTATAAATTATTTTTGCCTAAAACGCCATCTATTTTAATTTCAAGTTAACTAATTTAGTCAATCTGCAAAGGAACAATCTTCGTTATTGTATGGACAGATGGCGTTAAAAGCGTAGTTTTTTTAATTTCAATATTATAAGAGTTTGGAAAAAATGTTCCAAATAATATAAAACTAGCATTTTTGTGTAAAAAATTGCACGGTCTACTGCGCATCAAGGGTATTTACTTTACAAAAGGTTCTTTCCTTGTTCAACTAAATAATATTAATAAAAATTATAATTTAGCCTTAGTATATTTACATAGCACATTTGTTGATTTTGATTTATGTTTTGTTTTCCATAAAATATGATGACAAACAAGCAGGAGCACTTAAATTGCAGATGTGTTGTCTACCTCAAATCAACATGGGGGATGCACCGTTTGCAGGATGACATCACAATACATATTTAGAACAACATTTACATGATAAGAGAACAATCGAGTCGCAACTTATGAGTAATTAATTCAACTTTTACTCTGATACAAGTGGAAGACTACTATTTAATAATACTTTACTAATTATTAAGAGTACAATTTTAATATGGTCATAACACCAAAGAAAACTTTATTGCTTGTTTGTATGTACTAACTAAAAAAAACTCAGGGTTATAAATAAAGATGCTTGCTTGCTTGTTTACAGTTCATTAATAATTAAAACATTAGTAAAAAAAATAAAACCTTGGTTTATTCATTTTTATAAGGAATACAATTGTATTAAATTTTTATATGTAAAATGTAGCCAGAACCACTTATAATTATCAGTTACAGGACATGCAATAATCTTTATAGATAATAGCTTATAGCTACTTTGAAGATGGAATAACTATATCTACAACTGATTACTATTAATAAACTGTTCTAACCAATATATTACATTTATATTATACTAGCTTTCGCACGTGACTCCGTCCGCATGGAATTAAAAAAACAAAAGTAAGTAGCCTTTGTGTTCTTCCAGACTGTCCTCTACATCTATACCAAATTTCATCGAAATCCGTTCAGCCATTTATGCTGCAAACTCTAACAAACATCCATCCATCAATCCATCCATGCATCCATCTAAACTTTCGCATTAATAATATTAGTATGAAGTATGATATGATTATATTACTATATTATATTTATATTAACTTTAATAATTAGATCAATAGTGTAATAACATATGCACTGCAGCATTCCAGTCAAAGTGTTAAGGGCAGACCCAAATCACGGTGGGAATCTGTGGTGTTGAGAGATGTGTGGTGCCAAGTTTTGGAAGAGGATGTCTTAAATAGAGTAAAGTAGAGTAGAATAACAGAGAAAGCTGACTCCAGTATCATAAGGGATACTAGCTAGGAAGAGAAAGAGTGTTACATCATCTTTCAAGTCCATTTTTAGATTAAAAATTGAGTGTGTTTCCTGATTTGCTGATCACCCCACTTGTTAATCAAACCGATGGAATTTTTTTCATTAAACTGATATGAATTCATACAATCAAACAGCCCAATAGGAAAAAAAATCACTGGTTTGATCATTTCATGGCTTGAAAGGCCCATTGGAAAATACTAACAATTAACAAAATTTAGTAACTTTACTATTATAATTTCCACAACAATCCAAAATATAGATTAATTTTTAATGTTGATTTGATTATTTACTTGTCTATGAATTTGTTTCAAATAGATAAAATTGATAATACAAATGTGTCTTTTTTTAAAATAAATTTATGATTAAAAATGTTTTTATGTAGTTAATTATAAATCATTTAAATTGAATTTATTAGGACCCAAGATTGTAGGATTATTTCATTGAACTATGAATTATTTTATCAAATGAATTGGAATAGTTTCTATGTTACAGTAATTATAGTTTTCTAATCTGACTTCTCCGTTTTATTAACAATGTGCAAAAATAATCACATTACATAAGTTTTAAATGTACTTTTGTACATTTTGTTTAATGAAGCTTACTCATTCTTGTCCAATATTATTTTTGACATTGGCAATTAAATGTATGCAAGAACAGGTAATGCTTAATAGAAACAATTAAATTAAATTTAACAGGTTCTACATCACTTACTTCAGCAGTAGGTGATGGTGATGATGAATGTGACAGATCCTGTCCTTCCACTTTGGACATGGCCCATGTCACAAACGAGGCAAGAATCACCAAACAAACCGTCCGTAGCTTCAGCATTTTGAACCTGCAATAAAGATATAAAATGTATTGAAGGTATAAAAACGATTATGAGAACAATACACTAATAAAATAGAAAACACACACGTATACACACTTACATGCAAAAGTGCAATAGAGTTGTAAAATAATACCCTGTCGTCAACACTAATGGCTTTATACGTCTAAAGATAAAACAACTTTACAAGTTTTTTTAAGACGAAGGTTATTTCCATACAGCCAATAGTGCATATCTAAGAACCATGACCACAGCAGGAACCAACGTCACCGGCTCATTGGTGAATGCCAATGCCAACAAATATGATGCTAAGAAATCTAACTCACTTTTTACTTATCCCTGGTAGTTTCTTTTATTCTAAAGAATCTGACCACAACTTAAGACACTAGCTAATACATTTTGCTAAGTTAAAATTATACACAAAACTTCATTTAATTCAATTTGAAATATACATTTTTTACTTGATCTAAAAAATTACGACAACGTGACAATTCGCTAAAACATTGTCAGTTTCGTTGTCACTTGTCAATGTCATTTTAACTTCAAAGAGTAAACTTACTGCCAAACACGGCTTTCGGCCGCTTTTAACTTTGCTCTTTGGTTTTCTTCTCCGCACATGCGTTTGTCAAATGTCAATGTCAGAGTCAATTGATCGTCCATAATTCCAAAATCCAAACAAGTAAACGAAACTTGTAAAGCGGTTAGAATATAAAATGCCTCTGGATTACAGAAGATTTAATGGTCCAGAAGATAGTGTATCTTACAAACGATTTACACCAGACTTTTTAAAGAATTACGATGAACAATTAAGTGAACTGCTTGAAAAAAATAATCTGAAAGATGAAGAAGCATCAGAGGAATCAGAAAGAGCGTGTAAATTTTGTATGTATTTTATTACTAACTACGTTTTAATTGATAACTATAAGGTTAATACTAACACATTTTTATTTTTAGTTGCTAAAACAGATACGATATCCCAAGCAAAAGGATCGTCGTATGTAGAAATTAAAAACACAAAAGTTGTCTGTTCGGTATTTGATCCTAGAGAAATACCTCATCAGAATGAATTCAGGTTAGTAAGTCAACAAATGTTAATAATTTGGGTATCATATTTAATTATAATGTGACATTCACACATTTCAGTCATCTTGGGCAAATATATTGTGAAGTTAAGTTTGCTCCATTCTCTTGCTCTTCGCAACGTCGACCACCTGCTCCAGATGCCGAAGACAAAGCTCTGTCTGAAGCTTTAAGACAAGCTATAGAGCCAGCAGTCTGCAGACATTTGTTCCCTAATTATCAGGTTATTTTTTTTATTTGAAAAAAAAAACATAAAGGCACTCGAAGTTCACAACTATGCATGCACAGTCATGGGTAACTCAATTAAAATTGATGTATTGCAGATCAGCTCATTTATACTTGTTCATGTGAACTGCATGTCACTGGACAGTTAATGGCTCCCAGCATTATAGTACATAATGTTGAGTTAACTGCTAATTATTTTATTGAGCCACAGCTCAGCAGTTCCAGATTATGTGAGCTGATCTGTTAAACTTCAGAACTGATTTACACACATTTAATACATACATATGAATGTTGAAATGGTGAGAAAGGTGTCAGGTTGATGAATAAAAGTTGTGTTGTTTCTATTTATTTCTAACTAGCTGTTGCTCACGACTTGGGCCACAGTCAAAATAAAAAAGAATAAAAAACATATCTAGCCTATCTTACTCGTAACATAATTTTTTAATGTTGAAAGAATTTTTGAGTTATTTTAATACATACAAAAATCCTAAAATACAAATATTTCCTCTTTATAATATTAGTGACTAATGAAACTTCAATTTTTCAGATCGATGTCTTTGTTTATATCATAGAGAATGATGGCTCATGTCTAGCTGCTGCAATAAATGCTGCGAGTTTAGCACTTGTTGATGCTGCAGTTCCCATGTATGATATGATAACAGCATCTTCTATGGCAATCGTCGAAGACAAGATGTTTGTAGTTCCTAACGAGGAAGAAGAGGAACTGGCAATGAAAAGTCCGGAATCAAAAGAAATCAATCATGGAGTTATAACATTGTCTATGCTTTCAGAATTAAGTCAAATAACAAGCTTTACACAAATAGGTTCATTGGAGACAGCATGTGTGATAAAAGCAATGGATATTCTTGAAAAAGAATGCAAAGAACTTGTACCAAATATACAGAAAGTTGTTGTCCGTAATGTTGTTAAGAATGTAAAACAGCAACAGATCTTACAAGAGAGTGTTAAAGACATAGAAGATATACTTGATGAAAAATATAATTTATGGCAAAAATCATTAAAAGCTAAATCTTATTTGTGTCTTTTTCTTGATAATTTTAGTAATAATGTAGCATAATGGTTATAGAATTTTTCAAATAGGCCCAGTTTTTGAGTTCGTTTATTGTAGTAACGAATGTTTAAATTTCTAGACTAAACAGCTGAGCCTGGAATAACATACAAGTTACTCACTTTTTAAAATTTTATTTCTAAGCAGACGAAATCGGGAGCGGAAGCTAGCTACATATAAAAACACAAAACCTTTATTAATAACATAAACATAAACAGATTTATAAATGTTTGAAGTTGTTTGAGGTTTTGCAGAAGGAGGAGGAATATCAGATATTATATCACATTGACATATTTAAAATACCTGTGTTTACAACTTACATTTATTGTTAAAAATAAGTTCACAAGTGTACACTTATGATCAAAATGTTTGTACATCCACCATAGATACTCAGTCTTCCGGTTTTTCTGGTGGTGGTCCACAAGGCTGTAGCATTTTTTCCATAAGGTTAAATTTAACTCGCGCCTTAGACTCGTTTTCAACTATAGCAAAATAGCTAAGTAAATCCGGATGTCCCATATAGCTGCAACACGAGTCGCGATGTTGATTCGTTAACCACTCGTATTTTGTAGTATCTGCATGCCCCGTGCCGATATATTTACTCTGAAGATGCTCTAACTGGCTGTGAATGTTGTATCGTTCACCCATTTTGCTAAAACAAATATTAACAGACTATTTTTTTAATAATTGGTTTTATTTAATTTGGACACGGCGGTTATTAGTTACTTACCTCCTTTATGCTTCGATATATCCAAAAAATATATAAAACCCGGTTTTTACTTTAAAATTGTATAAACACTATTTTTATTGTTAACTTGACGCAAAAAATATTGAGAATTTGACATTGACAGTAACGTCGGCATACCTTAAAAACAACAGGACAGAGTATGCAATAAAGCTAAATGGACCTTATTCGTCGGAGATATTTTGAAAACATTTGTTGCTTTTATAGTACTTATTATTATGTTAAATACATTATTTCAATAAACAGAATCTATCAATAAACCAAGTATAAAAATTATATGGTACTTGAAAGTTACCCTTGCCCTATCTTGACAAAAAATAATCAAAGTCACATTGCGCCATTTTCAAATTTATTTAATCAATAATCAATCGCAAAAACACCAACAAGACACCATTGAATAGAAAGTTTTAGTATTCCATTTATTTTTGAGAATGAATAAGGCAAATAACTTAAAAGATTTCAAAGAAAATGAAGAATTATTGCGCAAAGAAGCAAAAAAGTTAAGAATAATGAAGAAGAGTGACTTAAACAAAAGGGAAACACACCTGTTTATGTTTGAAAAAAATCTCACAACAATTGTAAGTTCCGTAAATTTAATGAATTTCTAATCACTATAGTGCATTTTATGAATTAACAAGGTTTATTGAAATGTTAGCGTTCGAGTATTTGATAGTGGTTCATACAGTAATAAAAAAAATTACGAAGTTATTGTTGTTTTAGCCTAAAACTAGGCATCCCACACATGTGATATACGCATACTATCACAATAATTACTTATACAAAATTGAGAACCTGAATGAAATGTACAATTTGACGCATCTACATTTACAATGGAATAGAATATCTAAAATCGAGGGTTTGGACAAACTAACAAAACTGAAGAAGCTGTACCTTGGCAGTAATTGTATCTGCGTTGTTGAAAATATGACGGGTTTAAAATATTTAGAAGAATTTCATATTGAAAAGCAAAATTCAGACGGACCGGACGCGTTATGCTTTGATCCAAGAACTATGCTGGCTATTGGTGTAAGTATTGTTTATTTATTTTTTTAGATATTGTAAAAAATTACTTTCCTCCATATTCTTCCTTTACTAGTTGGATTTTTTTTATTACTTGTACAGTTTTATCTACTGCATCTTTGTTTCCAGACCACGTTGAAGATTTTAAACGTCTCAGAAAATAAGCTAACGGATATGGCGTGGGTAAAGCCGTTACGATGTCTGGAAGTTTTAAATGCATCGAAAAACAGACTCGAAGATGTTCAGGTTGACTTTTTACTATTTTTAATACGGTTTACATCAAAAACTATTTATAAACCATTAAGGAGTATGTTACTGTTACTACTTAGGCAACTGCGGACGATCTTTGCACCCTAATTTGTTTGGTTGACGCAAACTTTACTGGTAACCCCATGACAAAGAAACATAGATATAAAGAACTGATTATTGCACGATGTGCCCAATTACGTGAGTGTTCATTTAAATTATAATTTTATTACCAATTTGGTTCTGATAATCTTAAAAGTTGAACGGATTTTGTGTGGTATTAGCTTCGAGATTAATCTTGCATTACTTTTGTTTGTAAAGGCATTCTCGACACCGTAGCGATCCACTCTACATCAAAAACTTTCCTACGAAGCTTTGACAAAGCTGTGCGATTACGTCAAATGAACTTTCGGAACAAGATAGATATGTCCAAACAAGGCGTGGAAGATTTCTTTGATCTCAATATGATGAGAGGTTCTACGCAAAGTGCTATTACTATGGGAGAACAACCAAAAGGACATCCTAGACGTAATGAACTTTACTTTTTTATGATTTTCTTGTACTCCCCCAAATATTGAAAACTGACAGTAATTTTTTAATTAGAGAATCTTACAATTTAAAAAGAGAATCTTCTTCACTTCAACTGTGTGAACATTCACATTTATACAATGATATTTACTAAATACATTTCTTACAGTAACACATATTTGTAAGGAAAGAGACATTTCCTGAAATGTTGGTTTTATTCTTTATATTTCACAGTTACAATTATTGATTCAACCTACGGCTTTATGCCTCGACCGTTGTTACGGGCTCAGCCAATACCGCGCGAGAGTTTCGTACCTCCATCTGAACCACCACCTTCATCGGGTAATGAAATGAGCTCCGGACCTATTAAGGGAATTTTGAAGAAACCTATGCCAATGAAATATATTTAGTCCATGTTTGTTTAATTTACCATGTATTTTGTAATAAAGTATTTAAATTTTTACGAATTCTTCATTTTTCTTGATAATAATCAAATATGCAGTAAAGCAAGAATAAAAAACTAGGTTAACATAAATGATTTGTTACTTAAAAATCCATTAATCAGGCAAAAAAAAAATTAATACAAATTGTGTTCGTTACATTTGGTAACAATTTAACTTGGTAGGTTGGTCTTTGATAGTTGTCAAAGTGCCATTGACGTGTGTTTATTTACAAAATTTATAACCTAAATCATGACTGATAGGATAGCAAAAGCATTAAAAATCCTCAATGAGGAATCTACCGGTAATTTCTTTCTATTTATGTCTATATTTGAGGTAAAAAAATCTTTATTCTACGCAGTTCTTATTTGTAGCACTTTATCTTGGAGATTCAATACAAGAAATCGATGTTATTGATTCACTTGAATTTCATCGAGAGTATGTAGCGAAAAATATTCCTGTAGTTATTAGAGGCGGTTGTTCTAAATGGCCAGCAACATTAAAATGGAATATTGAATATTTTAGGTAAGGTTATCTTTCAGACATGCATCTTTTTAACAAAAGTGGGGTTGGCAGGATACCAAATGGCCAAACATTGAGCTACAAAGAATACTTTTAAAGATTTGGCTTATTTTGTGAAATTCAAAAAACATTACCTACTTTTGATAATTTAAGTTAAAATAGCCAATTCATCTCTTATCAGAATAGTTTAGCTCGGCATTCATTGTAGTAATTTTTAAAAATAGGAATACATACAAGATTATCTTGATTCCAGAAAAAACTTCAGTAATAAGAAAGTACCGGTAGCAATGACACCAAATGGCTTAGCCGATGGAATAACAAAGGATCACAATGGTGTAGAATATTTTGTGACGCCATATGAAGTGGACATGCCTATGGGAGAATTCCTGGATATGCTGGAAAATAAAAGGTATCAATAAAACAGTCTAAAAATTTAAGTTTCACATCAGTTCCATAGGAGCTCTCTGAGGTGTACCCTAACTTATGGGTAACTAATAGTCAAATACACTTGACTGTGAGTTGACTTCACAAATATCTTTGAACTTCGATGATATGTCCTGGTTGCATCTTGATGTTTGAAAGTCATGGAATGTACATATGAAATTAGAAATTAGAAAAAATTGCTACATGGCGGGAATCAAACCCAGTATCTGCATTACAAGTTAAGTCCTCAATTCCTAAGCCACCAACACTCATGTTAAACTTTTTATTGAAACATTAAAAATAAGGTAAACACTGTGTTCTGTACATTTTCACTGACAAAACATGTTGAACCATATTTTTGTCACATTAAAAACAGTGAATTTTGTTCTCATATAAACTGTATTGCAGTGAAAACATAATACCATATATTCAACGTCAGAATTCCAATTTGACAGAAGACTTTCCAGAATTAATACAAGATGTGGTTCCTGACATAGACTTTGCTACAGAAGCATTCAATAAAAAACCTGACGCTGTTAATTTTTGGATGGGGGATGAGAGAGCTGTCACTTCTAGTAAGTGTTTTTTTTGACATCTATAGAAATTACTAGACAGAGCATGATTAAATAGCCTATTATTGGCTGGAGTTATATAAGTGCTAAAATGGAGAAAATTTAATAGGCCCTAAAAACTATGACTTCTAATGGAATTAAGAGGTCCGTAATTTTTTTATACCAACTGTAAAATATCAACTGTTGCTCGCGACTTTGTTCGCGTGGAATTAAAAAATAATAAGAGATATAGCCTTTTTACTCTCGAATATAGCTTTTTAGTGAAATAAATTTGAAATCAGCCTAGTGTTTTTTGAGTTATTTATATACATACCAAAATACATATTTCCTCTTTTAATATTAGCATAGATTATATTAGTAACTGGCGAGTAAAATTAAAAATATTTCATTTTATACAAACGCTCAATAAATTATCTTTAAATTCCAGTGCACAAAGATCCATACGAGAACATTTACTGTGTGATCGATGGATACAAAGACTTCATACTAATTCCTCCCACGGATTTACCCTATGTACCATACAAACAATACCCACAAGCTGAATTCAAAAGAATGGATAATAAATGGCACATACAACCACTTATCTTAAAAGATTCTGACATCAAAGAGAGTAAAGAGGAGTTAAGTATAGACAAATCGGATCAAACAATACCATGGATATGTATTGGTAAGTATCTCTTTTATATGTACAGTTCGGGAAATTAGCAGTGTTCCACTTTAGGATAATGCCTTGTTCATTGTTACAAGACAAACTCAATTTCTTCCTACAAATGATTAGATAGTATTTAGTACAAATAAAGGGATAATTATAAAAAGAAACTAGCCATGTATCACTAACCGACTTTTCGTAAAATACATTTATAAGCTGCATTGTATTGATTTTTGTTTCGCGTGTCTTCAAAACGTTCTAATGATTGTAGCTTTTTCTGTAAGTGGTACACCGTGGATTTCTGCGATTGTACATAAGTTTTTTTTTTAGATCCTTTAAATCCGGACTTATCAAGGTACCCGAGGTTCGGTAAGGCTCATTTATACAGGGTGCGTGTGCGCAAGGGTGACTGCCTGTATCTCCCCAGCCTGTGGTACCACCACGTGGCGCAGAGCCACGGCTGCCTCGCCGTCAATTACTGGTACGACATGGAGTTCGATCTTAAATATTGTTATTATAAAATGCTAGAAGCATTATGTAGTAAATACTAAGTTTCTTAATCAAATTTTGAATGCAAAAAAAAATAAAATAAAGCGTAGATGTAGTGAATATATCTTTAAACTGTCGTGGTTTTTACAAATATAATGTTCGTAAGATACGGGTTTCTTAGAACGATTGGATATTTTTATCTTTTGGATTATTTCGTAAGAACGAACATTATAAAATGAAACTGTAATTTTTTGTAATTCCATTGTAAATAATGCCTGGTAAAGTGCGGTTATTTAATTTATAAGTTTCTTTTTGTATTTCGCGATTTGTAAATATGTATAAAAAACAATAAATGAGCTATTTGTACGGCACTTGTTTCTTAGAGCCTTTGTCTTTCAAAAATAGAAATATTAAAAAGATATTTATTTTACATAAAAATAATATGTAGCACATGTTTGTGTTCTTTATTTTCATATAAAATTGAACACTCGACTTATCAGTTAATTCAACTTTAAATTAAAATAAAAAGCAAGCTCTCGTTTTA